TGACAACCCTAGTTGTTTTAAAGGGTTAAATCCAATTTATTTCTCCCCATTCCCGATTTCCGATCATGAACCAAAGATTCACAATTCAGCTCTATACTTTTTGTACAGATGGCCTCTTGACCTTTAACGCCCCTACAATATGTAAAGCTTTGCTGATCTTCTTGTTGATGCCAGTCAGACATGGCAAGCCCAAATGTATTGTGAGGGTCCTGTCAGAAGGAGCTTCAATTCCTACCACTGACAGAACTTCCAAAATGTTCCAGGGCAGGGGGGGAGACACTGAGTCTAAATGGGCCCTGTTCCTTGCTTCCACTGTTGAGGTGGCTGACTAGAGCTGTGGCCGCAGGGTTGTTGCTGCCTGTTGTCGCGGCAACCCCCAAACCATCTGGTGGACACCGGTGGTTAGTGATGCTGTCAAGCTGAAGAAAAGGTCCTATCAGGTCTTTTTGGCCTGTGGGACTCCAGATGCAGCTGATGGTTATCGGCACTCCAAGCAGAATGTGGCTCGGGTGGTCGCGAAGGCAAAAACCCAGGCATGTTAGGAGTTCGGTGAGACCATGGAGCAAGACTTCCTTATGGCTTCGATGAGATTCGCAGTTATGCGGGAATTGTACCGGTCTGTCATGGTAAAGAGAGAGCTGAGCCGAAAGGTGAAGCTCTTGACCAACCCTCACATATGGTCACAAGTTTTGGGTGGTGACTGAAAGAATGAGATTTTACATACAAGCGGCCGAAATGAATGGCTGGACTCCCCCTTAAGCCGGGCGTACACTGTGCGACTTTTTCACTCGCAGCACTCAGCTTCAGCTCAAACTGTACGACTTCCTCGCAGAGCAGATCTCACGAGTCATGTGCTCACACTGTACGACCCAGTTCTCGTATGCGACCTGACTGCTCACACTGTACGTCTGGTAGCAACACTTCGGCCCAAAAATGTGCTAAAAATAGCAGTTTTTACTCAACACGTCAGACTTTTTTGTCTTGTCTTGCCTGTTGTCCTTCGGGAGTGCTGCAGGAGGACACACAGGGATTTATGGGGGTTGGATGAGGAAAACGAAATAAAGACAGTAAATCTGTGTTTTGTGATCAGTTTAGTTTGACATGAACACGACAAACACGCTTTCTTGACAATCTTTGTGAGTAAAAAAAACGTGTAGAAACAAAAACGAACAGCGTGTGTTATTGGGGAAATAGCGAGCGACCGGCGTTGATGCAGGATAGCGCGCGCATGCGCCGTGAGCGGTTCTGATACTTTTTGGGTCGCAGCTGCTCGCAGCGCCGCTTGAACAGTGCGATACCCTCAAGAGGGACGAGCGAAATATTAAACACACCAGAAGTCCGTGCGACCTCACGACTGCTGATCGGCGGCTGGTCACGTGGTGTTAATCGCCTCTCGTAACCCCTGTACACACGACGCTCAGCGCAAAACTCGCCCCGATGTCGTGGCTTCTCGCACGACTGGAAAATCGGCTCAAAAAAGTGAAAAAGTCGCACAGTGTACGCCCGGCTTAAGAGATAGGGTGAGAAGCTTGGTCATCAGGGAGGAGGTCAGTGTAGACCTGCTGCTCCTCCACATTGAGAGGAGCCAGTTGAGGTGCCTCGGACATCTGGTCAGGATGCCTCCTGGTTGACTCTCTGGTAAGGTTTTCCAGTGTAATGTAATGGTTTCTGCTCTTTTATGAAAGATGAACCATCCTACATATTAATTTGGAATATTAATTTTTAATAAATTAATAACCAAATTTTATAGGGTTAAGAAGACTCAAAGGTTGTTTTCATCGATAAACTGACGATAATATCCGTGGGTCTGTGTTTCAGTTCAATGAAGAGACAAGTTTGAAAGTTCAAAGTTTTAATTCTTCAAATTAAACTAATGATTTTGAAATTACAAGCATAGGAAATTAATCAATATTGGCAACCTTGTTGGACCATCTTTAACAGTTGATATTTTAAGCTTGCACAAATAGACCTTGTGTTGGATGTGCTAAGATTTGAGAATGATGTGATATGAATGCGTGTGTGCAGGTATCTGAGATTGCTTCAGGAAGAAACAGGTGTCTGAGTGAAAAGTGATGGTTTGAATAAAACTTAGGTCTTATTAGAAAAAGGCATCAAACGCTATCTGTCGTGTACTGCCTCACCGTATGAGGACCCCCTTTTCAGATCCGGACGTCACCGGAGGATGTTCATCCAGGGGACACCTTGGCTGGCAGAGAAGACGAAGGTGTCCGACGCTCCGGTTCAGAGTTGACCTCGGTACACGTTGATGACGCGTTTGGCAGATGCGCTATCTTAAGTTTAAATTACTCAGAAATCAAAAGACTCTGGACGAGTCTGCGTTAGCTGGTTGCAATTCAGCTATCCTGTCTGGCTTGACAGGAATAGCGTGTGTGTGTGTGTGTGTGTGTGTGTGGGAGGGGGGGGGGGGGGGGGGGGGGCAGGACCCGCAGGCTCCCTTCCCGTGTGTGTGTTCAACACGTCCGCTCTCTCCCGTAGACAAACTCCAACTGAATCATGAACTGAAACTTACCAAACCCAGTTCTCTTCCCAAAAGCAAACGTATGCGTCAGAGCAAATGTGTTTTGGAGTTTACTGTGAGAGTTTGTGTGTGTGTGAGTGTTTGAGTGAGTGTTTGAGTGTGTGAAGGTCACCACTAAAACATCTTCAAGCATTATTTAATTAAGTATGGATTCATTATAGTTATGATTAACCAAAGCATAATAACCATTCATTTGATTAAAACACATTTATAATGAGTAAAATGGTAAAATGATTGTTTAGCATTAATAAACAAAGGAAGCGTAAGACTCTTTTATTATGACTAGCTTTCATGAGAACTCCATCTTCTGGCACTGCAGGTGTTCAGATGCAGTGGTTTCTGTTGAATCTTGCAGACTTCATGTCGGCAAAGTTCTTAATCTGTGGGTGAAAGTTCTGAGCGACCCAGCACTTGACCCAGCCGGGCAATACAACCTTTGGCACAGAAAAACCCATATTTCCTCACGTTACACCAGGCACGTCCAACCAGGAGATCTACAGGGAGACCCAGGACACATTGGACAGACTATGTGTCTGGCCAGGGAATGCCTTGGGATTCACCCGGAAGAGCTAGCCTGAGAGGGATGTCTGGGCCTGTCATCTGGGTGGCGACCCAACTCCGGATAAGCGGAAGAAAACGAATGGATGGATGGATGGATGGATGGAAGGATGGATGGATAAACTCAACTATGCTTCAATGCTTGTTAATTCTAATTTTGTAGTCTTAAGTATGGCTTTTCTCTTAAGACTACAATTGGGGTGTAATCATTTTTGCAACATGGGCTTGAATGGATTTGTTAGGAACATCACATTTTTGTTTGTTCAAATTAACTAATCTTGTTTGCAATCAATGGCCCACATTTGTGGGAATATTTTGTGGTGTCTCATAGAAAATGTCTGTTCTGAAAGGAAACTAAAGGTTTTCTGACAAATGTAGAGAGGTGCACTCATTTATGCTGAGCACTGTATCTCCAAAATTAGCTTCTGATAGAAAATAGACAGTGAAATTCTAGGTTTTGAAAACCCTCACAGATCTACGTCACACTGCAAATAATCGATCATGCACTCACCAATCTTGATTAATAACAGGTAAGGCTGTTGTTGTTTTAATGTCCAGGAATCACCAGAGAATTTCTTGGCTAGTTTATGCTAACCTTTAGCATTAGCTACTCCACCTCACAACAGAAACTCCTCCAGGACTGTGTTATTTGTGGAGATAAAACATCCAGATTGCAAGTCAGTGGTAGAGTCGCGTTGCTATTATCCAGTCTGGAATGAAATGTCTAAATGTCAGGACAAAGGACTCCAAAACCTATCGTCTGAAGGTCAGCTGGGATGTGGGCAACTTGGAGGTCCAAGAAATGATGCACCGGTATTTTATTCCCCTGAAAATGACCTTCAAGGGATTCATTCCTACTAGAGACCAAGCAAATGTGTTGATTAAATGAATGAAGCGCTGCTCTAATAAAGCTCATAAGTTCCCCGGGTACAGGCCTGCTTGCCTCACTGCTCCTCATGGCTAACTCTCTCAGCCCCTTGACTGCATTTTTTTGAGTTCTCCATTTTCACAGTACATTTGATACTGATCTTTCTCCTGACATCAGAAACCGTTCAGCTAGGGGGGGAAATCCTTGCTATTGTCACCATCTCTGATTAAAGGAAACACCTGAGGTTGTCGGTAACAGCACAATGGACATGCCGATGTAGGGTCTGACTGAAGCTGACTCTGGATCAGCCTCAACACAGCAGAGCAACTGAAAGAATGACAGAAAGTGGATCATTTTACAGGGTTAAGAATCACCAGTTAGCTTCTCTGAGGGTTTTGCTGCGTGTTTCATGAGCTGAGCTGCAGGATCAGGATCTGACGTGTTCGTCTGCATGCAGAGAACAGAAGTGTCCTGTGGGGAGGTAATAATGAACACACCAGGTTCAGAGACTGGCACAAGTTGAGGACTTGGTTGCCTACATGTGATTGGAAGCGTGTGTGCACAGTGAGTCTTTTCTCATTGTAGTGTGGTCCTCTCGCTGGTGTGTGTAATTCTGTTTCTGCAGCACCTTCTTGCATTACGTCCTCTCCATATGGCGCCTTCCCGTTAACTGTTGATTGTTTGGCATCAGCTTACTCTGGCATTATTTCCCTTGGAAAATGATTCACTGAATTTAACAGCTGCTGTTTTCCTGCTAAGATGATTGTGTAGTGATGCTTTTCGCGTTTTTGTCTCAGAGGACCAAAATCTCAGGAACTCATCAGAAACCTTCAGTTATTTCAGGAAAAGACACACAAAAAAACACCGATGTGTTAGTTGTTGCAAGGTTTTTGTCCAATTTCTTTTCTTAATTTTGAAGCCTGAAGAAGAAAATAAACTTTTGTTGTTATCAATAATTTGGTTTATGATTTGAGTAAAACCATTAAACCTCATGTTCATAATGAAGTCATCAGCTTTTTCTATTTTCACCCTCAGATTGGTCAGATCCTGCGGAGCCCGTTCATGAAGTTTGTGGCCCACGCTGTGTCCTTCACCCTCTTCCTCGGCCTGCTGGTCATCAATGCTTCAGACCGCTTTGAGGGTGTGAAGAACCTGCCCAATGAGACCATCACAGACCACCCTCGACAGGTGTTCAGGGTGAAAACCACCCAGTTCTCCTGGACAGAGATGCTGATCATGAAATGGGTGTTGGGTAAGTTTCTTTCTCAGACTCTTTAACTTTGAACTGATAGACTCAGTAAGACATTTTTTTTATCTCCACAGTATATTTATAGCTTTGCTATGTTAGAACTATGTTAGGTGGCATGAAAAAATGTTGTATGCTAGCTTGTTTAGCAAATTTGCTATTGCAGCTTTAAGAACAACAAACCCAGAACAACGTTTAAAGCTCTCACGATGTTCTTTTTTTCTTTTTCACGTTTCTTTTTCCATTTGACTTAGCAGGAAATTTAGTTTTCTCTTGTTCCAAAAGCTCAAAGGTTTCCACACTTCCTGAAAACAACTACAGTATGTTACTAGTAGAAACTTCAAGTGTCGTAAACTACCTGATTTTGGACTAAATCAGAATCTAACAGGTGCCGGACAGTAGGCGTGTTTCCGTTATCTACACTTCAGGGTAAAGTCTAGGAGGGGAAAGTTGACCAGAAGAAGAAAGAAAGAAGAAAATATCATTTCTATAGCACCTCTCAAGATAAAAACCACGAGGCGCTTCACAAAAACAAAGAATGTAAATATATAGAAAAGAATTTAGCAAATGATTAAAACTATATTTAAAATGAGCAAAAAAATAGACAATTGTTATTAAAAAAATGTTAAGAAAGAGAGAGAGTGAATAGGAAAGAGGGAAATCAGTGGATCCTGAGGAAGGTGGAATAGGTGGGGAGAGCAGAATAAAGAGAGAGTGGTGAAGAAGGTCATACAAAAGCCAGCTTGAACAAGTGAGTCTTCAGCTGCTTTTTAAAGGAGTCCACTGATCTCAGGCTCAGGGGGAGAGAGTTCCAGAGTCTGGGGGCCACAGCAGCAAATTATCTGTCCCCTTTG